GTGGCTGTGCCATCCATCGGTGCCGTGTCAGAGATCTCTGTGCCATTAACCGGTGCCATGTCAGTGGTTGCTGTGCCCTCGAGCTGTGCCATCTCAGAGGTGTCTGTGCCGTCAGAAGGTGCCATGACACAGTTGGCTGCACAATCAGTTGCTACCACGTCGGTGGTTTCTGTGTCATCCGTCACTGCCATGTCCGAGGTTGCTTTGGCGTCATTTGGTGCCAGGTCACCGCTGGCTGCACAATCTATGGGTGCCATGTCATCTTTCTGCTCCAAAATGTCCACACTGGGAGCATCAGTCACACTCTGCATGGGCGTGCAGTCAGTGTCTGCGATGCCCTCAGTCGTGGTGTCAGCCTTGGCCCCGACATCAGTTGGTGCCGTGTCAGAGCTTGTGTCGGTGTCGGCCAGCGCAGTGTCACAGGTGGCTGTGCCATCCATCGGTGCCGTGTCAGAGATGTCAGTGCTGTTAACTGGTGCCGTGTCCGTGGTTGCTCTGCCTTCAAACTGTGCCATCTCAGCCATGTCTGTGCCATCAGGAGGTGCCATGACAGAGTTGGCTGCACAATCAATGGCTGCCACATCGGTGGTTTCTGTGCCATCAATCGCTGCCATGTCAGTGACACTGTGCGTGGGCGTGCAGTCAGTGTCTGCGATGCCCTCACTTGTGGCATCAGCCCTGACATCAGTTGGTGCCGTGTCAGAGCTTCTCTCGTTGTCAGTCAGTGCCACGTCAGAAGTGGCTGTGACATCCATCAGGGCCATGTCAGAGGTGGCTGTGCCCTCAAGAGGTGCAGTGTCAGTGGCTTCTGTGCCCTCCACTGGTGCCATGTCCATGTTTGCTGTGCCATTAACCGATGTCTGGCCAGAGGTGTCAGTGCCATCAACCCGTGCCATGTCACAGTTGGCTGCGCAATCAATGGCTGCCATGGTGGTGGTGTCTGTGCCATCAGTCGCTGCCGTGTCGGAAGTTGCTGTGACATCAGTTGGTGTCATGTCACCACTGGCTGCACAATGAATTGATGCCATGTCACTGCTGGTTGGACAGTCACTCGGTGCAGTGCTGACATCAGAAAGTGCCATGACACAGTTGGCTGTGCAATCAGTGGCTGCCATGTCGGTGGTTTCTGTGTCATCAATCACTGCCATGTCCAAGGTTGCTGTGACATCAGTCAGTGCCACGTCACCACCAGCTTCACAATCTATTGGTGCAATGCTGACATCAGACTCCGCCTCGAGCTCGGCTGCGCTGGTGTCAGAGACGTCTGTGCCATTAAGCAGTGCCGTGTCAGTGGTTGCTGTGCCCTCGAGCTGTGCCATCTCAG